CCCGTCCCGTCATCCTTGTGGTAGTAAGAACGGTGGAATAGGTGTACTCCGAGCTTTACTTTTGTCGTTAGTAGTTTCATTGATACCAGGACAATAATGAGCATTTTGGTAACCACCTATTGGGCAAAGTACTTGTCGTGCTTCAGTTAAATTGAAATTCTTTATGCTTGTTTTGACTCGTTCAGATAAATCAGATAAAGAATTTACAGCTGTCATGGATAATATTATTAATAGATAGCAATAAGCCGAACAAATCATCATATATCAAATGTATGAGGCAAACGAAAATGAAATTAGTTTATTCTTATGTACTCTCACTAGAGAAATAATATGATTGTCAATAAAAAAAAGTATTTACGTGGTTTAACTGGAAATCTCGCAGTGATCGAATACTCCCATAGTAAGTATTTTTTAATATATTTTTTTCAGATTCGATATTGCATTCTTCCACTACTTTCGTTTCGTAAAGTGTTTGTTTTGGAATCAAAGAAAGCAAAAATGTTTATTAAATTATTTTTCCGTTTAATCTCATTTCAAACTTAAAAGAGCTTTTGTCACTCATGTACGGAACGATATAAAGAATACATGAAGTACTTTTTTAAAAATAAACCTTCCGACAGAGAAAAAAATGTTGTTCATACATATGTAGAGTCAACAAATATTGGTATTATTGCTTGAAAAAAGGAGTTGATTTGAACTTGATTTTGATATGAAGACGTTCAATTTTAAAACTCAACTTCATTTATGTTCTTCATGGAAGTTAGAACACGTTGGATATCGCGATGATCTTTCTTGGTAGCATATAGCTGCCGATACAAATCTAATGCTTTCATATAATAATCGAAACTCAATGTTTGTCGTTCATATTGCATGTAAATATCAGCTAATAGTTCATAATTGTCTGCGAATGATTTCATATATTGACCAGTTTCACTTTCACGTTCAAGTGTTTCAAGTGATTTCTGACAATAATGTAAAGCCTTTGTACGATCTCCCGATTTCAGATGAATATATCCTAAACTATTCAATACATACGATAATTCGGGATTCATTTGGTTAGTATCCGATGACGGAAAACATTCCTGAAATAATTGGAGTGATTTTTCACAAGAAATCAAAGCGTTGTTGAGATCTTCACCTTGACAATAAAACCATCCGATATTATTCTGTACTGAAGCAATTTGTTGTTTAGAACTGTTTTTCATCTTTTCTAAAATGTGAAGCATTTCACATGAATGTACAAGTGCTGATCGATAATCAAGTGTCTCGCCATACAAGAAAACAAGGTGGTCTTCAATAGATAATATTTCCGAATCATATGGTAATGAAGGTGATGAATTTGTTTTCAACCAATTCAGTGCTTTCAATGATGATGCAATAGCAGAATCGAGTTGATTTAAAGATTGATATATCGTCGATACAAACATGTAGTTTGTCAAAAGATGTCGATCTCCATGCAACATAAGACGTTCTTGATTTGACAATAATCTCTCGAAATATTCGGTAGTTAATTGATATTCTTCTGATTGTGCATGTATGAGTGCTAATCTTAAATTGAGTTCTGCTTGCTTTTCTAAATCGTTTGGCATAACTGCTAAATAATGTTCCAACGATATTCGAGTGAACATGGCATAATTTCTGAAATCGTCTTTTTTCAAATAACATGTACCTATTGCGTCAGTTATATTCGCAATACGACTACTATCGTAATAATTGGTTGGATTTATCTTTGTCAATGTGTTATGTTTCAATAAAGATCTGTTTAAAAAATCAAGGGCTAAATCAATTCTATCATCACATTGATAAATCATCCCTATCATATAGAGAGTTTTTGCATTAAGATCATCGTCAGGTGAGTATTTTTCGTTAATTTTTAAAGCACAATGTAAATGGTGAAGAGCACGATTATACTTTCTATTTTCGTAATAACATTTTGCAATAGCATAATGAACTATCATAATTATTTGACTATGATTTAGGTCTAATAATTTTAGTAGTTTTCTATAAAGGAGAACGACATTATTTTTTTCCCCAAAAAATGGTTTTGTGTAAGCAAAATACCATATTGAATACCGAAGATTGATGCTGTCCGTAGCGAACAGTTGCTTAGCCATGTTGAAATGTTCTAACGTTCTTCCAAAGTTCAAAAAGTCAATTTCATCGCTGAGTATGGCAATATTAAGATGTATCATAGCCAAAGTATCATTATTTTTTGCCCGTATTTTTGTAAGAGTTTCCAGCAGATGTTCTAATGCAGGTTCATAAAAAGTTGACGAATCCCAGTCGTGTGAAAATAACTCCGAGTTTTCTTCCGAACCGTTTTGATAATATGTATTGTCGAATATTGTTCGGTAGGATTCGCTTAATATAAGATATTTTAAGTGATATTCCATTGAACTATCATAATTTTTTATACATGCGTATGAAACACCAATTACTTTTAAAAGTTTCACGATTGTTTCTGGATTTGGTGGATGAATACTCATTTTTATTCTATAAGCATCAAGAGCATTGCGAATTGCATACTCAAACTTTTTGTTTGATAAATATACCCTCGCTAATTTATAATAGGCATCCGCTTTTTTTTCCTCGTCTATAATTAATAGTAAAGATTTTTCATAATATGATATGGCTTTGTCATTTTGTTCGAATTTCAGCCATTGGTCACCGATAAATACTTGTACTTGGCCATCGAATGTAAAGTTATGATATTGTAGCTGGTTTTCAATTATTTCGCTTTCACTTGCACCAATTAGTTTAATTTTCCATAGTTCATTTTCTTCATCATATTGGACTGATGAAAGAAAAAAAGTTGATCCTAAATCGAATAAGACTTCTTGTTCATCAAAATTACTGTATTGTGTTATATCAGCAAAAATAATATTATCTAATTGAGGATCAACTTCAATTTCGCAAAGAACATTTCTGGCAAAAATCCGAGCTATTTCGTACGATTTTGATGTTGACAGAAATCCATTAAATAATACGTAATTGCCTACACTTGCTTTAATTCGATCTATTTCGATGTCAGGTACGCATAATCCACGGTAGAGATGTATGGGTGTTGATGATACTGCCAAATATTGTGCTCGTTGCTCTTGCCATAGTAAATGCAGATTGAAAGTAAGATCATTAGCAACATATTCTGTCAGAGAATCACTGCATACAGTATCACTACGGTATAAATTGTTTATAACTTTATATAGAAAACAGTCTTTTGAATACCATTTAAGTACATCTTCCGACCGATAAGTACGTTCGAATTCAACGATATGATTTAGTTGTATAGGATCGAGTGCATAAATCGATCGACATATATCTAAAAAATTCTTTTTATTCAACTCATCGGCTGGGACTCTTCGAATTCGCTTTTCTTTACATACACGATTTGCCGTGAACCATTTGTAATGTTTGGATAAATCCAATATAGATTGTAAATCTTTATCGAATAGATAATATACGTACGTTTTTTTCGATAAACTTTCTACATGTTGTGGGATGGATATTAATGCTTCAACAAGTTCGTAAACACCAAGCAATTTTGGATAGATATTAAACAATGGCTGACAATCGTTGACTGTTACATCAGTTGTTAGACACTGCAGACAAATTCCAACGATTTCTTCAATGTCATGTACAACTGGTAAAAGTTCACTGGCTAAATGAGCTGGCAGTACAAGCAGAATTTTTGTATCATCTGTACGTTGAGTTTCTAACGTTTGCATCAATGATTCATTGTCCAAACAAAACGACAGACGATAGTCAGTCTGATCCAAAAACATTTTGAGTAGTAGCGGCAAAAAATTATCGACATGCCACACTAAAAGCACATCGTCGTTGTGCTTTTTTGTATTTGAACTCATGTTAATAGTATCGAGATCAGGAGTTGCATTACATTTGACAGCATCATGTATATGGTACTGATGTATGAAAAGAAAAATACATGTGTAATCAATGGTCGGATTTTGAGCTTATTTGGCAATAAGATTAACTTCTATATTTAGTATTTCATTCGAGATTTCCCATTTTCTGCAACTATCTATTGATTTGTATAAATCTTTCCTCGACGTAAACAAAATTGTTTCAATAGAACGACTTGTTGATAATATTTACTCATCAAAAGTTCTATTCAGAAATGCTATTTAACAATGATAAAAGCGACCGTAAAAGCCGTATTTTTTAAAAACTTTACCGATTCTTTCAGTCATTTTGAGTTTTGAATGAGCAGCTTGCTAATGTGTTTATCTTTCAATATCTGTATGCGTAAAAAACTCAACAACAACTCCATTTATCCGTTATCACTATCGGCGTTCTCTCTACAAAAAGTCACTATATAAAAAAATAAACATTTTCGTCGTCTCATTCTATTGCAAGTCAACTTAACATGTGGCACTACATTACGCAACTGAAATAGTAATCTTACTACTGTCCAACATGCTGCAATCTTTGTGTCAATTCTAACGGACCATTGGTAGTAGGCTGAAATCAAACAATACAGTAACTCAAACGAGATAGTAATAAAAATGAACCAATAGTAGACACATTATTGTCCACTAATTTAAAACTAACTGAAGTTTATAGCAATTTTTACGGTCTGTCAATGCTGCAAATACCGTGAGATGTTTTTTTTATAGAAAAAAGTGCGCAATAATTATTTTTACATTTTTCGTTTTACCATTTGACACAATATGCATAATGTACGTCAAAATATTCTTCGAATGATAACAGCCACCACTTGACTGATTTTTTTCTAATGACTTCGCTTTCTAGGTGTAGCTCAACAGAAGAAAAAAAACACAACCAAGGCGATTTTGTTTCTAATGAGTTTGTCTGTCAAGTGTAGCTCGCCAGAAAAAAAGCAACAATTTTCTTTAATTAAGAAGAAATAATGAGCATGTAATTTTCTTGCATGAAAATGAAACAAGTGAAATTTGTCGTCTTTACACGAATATTATCAACCTTATTTTATGTTAAAAAGTTTCAAACATAATATGAATCTGTATGTGAAGCATTGCTCTAGATAAGAAATATAAATGAATAGCCACTTGTTATTCGTTATTATGGATCATTTAGGCTTATATTGAGATTTTCATTATTATTCTCTCTTGTTTTGTGTTTATTGTTTGCCATTTTATTACATTATTATAAGGTAGTCAATTGTCGCTAAATGACCAAATTTCGTTAACTATTGCGAAACTTACACGTATTTTGGAAGAAAATAGTGAGCTTCAGTTATAAATTAAAATTCGGTGACTTTTCCTAGGCTATATTAACATGAATTAAGACTATAAAAAAGCAGAATATCTTCAAAGTATGAAAGAGTTGCACCATTTTTTGTGAAGAGGTACATGCAAAATGCATTATATTGCAAGCATATGGAAACACTTTACATTTTCAGTGGGTTTGTGAAGGTTGGTCTAAATGAAAAATAGTCGGCTGATTTACAGTAGACACGGAATAACATGTTTGTACACAAAAGGCCCATATCGTTAGGCTAAAACATTTTTTCACAATAACTAATTACCCCATACCACCCAGCATGTTTCTACCACTAGCAGGCAGTGGAAATTCTCATTTCGCGCTTTCCCTATGCTACTACTATAGGGTGTCGGGTGTGGGTGTGGGTGTAGGTTTGGGTGTCGGGTGTCGCGTGTGGGTGTGGGTGCGGGTGTGGGCGTGGGCGTGGGCGTATTCGTTTTCTTCCGACTGATACCCACGCCCACACCCACACCCATCATTGCGAACTTCAATAAAAAAAAACTTTATGTAAGTGTGTTATCAAACAAAAATAAACAAGGGTTTCGAGATTTGAAACGAATTCTAAACCTCTTTTTAGTTCCGTATGAGTAAGGATTCGTACAAACCTACTTTTATAGACATTAGAAAAATGCTTCATATATTTTTCAATTAGGAAATAAAATAGTTGTTACATTTTATGTTTTACATGTCGACAAATTATGAGTCGAAGAAATTGTCGACAATGAAGGTCATTTGTTGGCTTTGTTTCATGAAATATTCGTAATCATATTTAGATATTCATTTCAAAATAAAAACTTCAAAATTCTCCCTCGAGTCATTATAGTTTATGTCTAGTAGCTAAGAATTTTTCATAGATTAACATTTCGTCTCCTTATCATATGAAGGACGTTTGCACATGTTATGATTCTCAACTCCCAATTAAATGAGTATACTATTGATTCTTAAATAAAAAAAAACGAGAATAGTTCCAGTTTTTAGTCTCAATATCTTATAAAACGAAAGACTTTAGCTGGTAAGAATTTGTGATTGTCTTATATTAACGAATACGCATTACTTACTATATTCGATTAGAATTCGAACCTTTGAAGTTCATTATTAAGATATTTTTTCGATTTCTCCTGTCAATGCCTCTCAAAAGCAAGGACTTCCAGAAATGAAAGTGATCGTCCGATTTCATATCATAGAATTTCAGCAATAAAGCGGATTTCACCGCGAAATTAAAAAAGAAAATGGTGCTCAGTTTTTCTGGTAGCTTGTAATTATGAGTATCTCGAAAAATGAAGTGTTACCACCATTGAAATTCGCTGCTTGATCTCATTAAGTTTTATATTAGTACCAGTATGAATTTCAGCTACGAATTTAAATGAAAAAATTAAATTCTCAGCTTGAAAATAGAAAATGACGAATCTTCTTTAATGATATTTGCCATGATGATCTCGTAAAAGGAAAATGTTTCGCAAATGAAATCATTTTTGACTTGTCAACAATTGTCTCCGAAGGTTTTGTTTTGGCTTTTTACATTTGCTGCATTTTTCATAAATACTTTCTTACTTATTTTTTTATGCATGTCATTCTAACTTTGTTGTACTTCGTTGCGAATATATTCTTGGCCACTAGAACTCTTCCTTAAGCATTACACACTTTTAAATAAAATTGCAGTAATTTATTGAAAATAAAAGCCCTCTAAATTTCATTAAATTATCAAAAAATTCTCTTCAACAATATATCGTCTATTAGAACTCCATGTCATGAATAAAAGATTTGTGAATCATGACAATACTTTGTCTAAAATATAAATAAAATAAAAGGGATGCAATGAATTATTAAAATTTTGAGCAAAGTTTTGCAATTTTTCGTCAGATTTTCTAACACAAAATGGTTTTCATTTTCATAATGAATTGAAATTTTGATAATGTTTCAAAATTTTCCTTTTGATTGAATAAACAATATTTTGAGGATTTTCATGATGGTGCCCATAATTTATTCAAATTTCTTTTTTTCATCTACACTATTTCGCTTCGAGTGCTTATCTATACCTGCAATAGATCTCCTCTCTTCTTGAGGGTATGGGTGTGGGTGTGTGGGGTGTGGGTTTGGGGTGGGGGGTGTGGGGGGTGGGGGTGGGTGTTTGATGTTGTACGCTTACCCCC